TTTTTTTTCGGAAATGCTCTTACTCCTAATGTTTATAACCATATTTGTACCTTGATGTGGGTCTTTAGCTGTGGACAAATGTGCTGCTCACAGAGCCTGATCGAGTGCTCTGCGATGAACATCCTGTGTTTGCATGCTTAGCCCATGGATTTTATCACATCGTGATGCTTGTTAAAAGCGTCATCCAGAACGCTAGCGTTTATGAAGAAGTACGCTGCATTTCTGATCTCAGTACGAATCCTAAAATACTATTATCTGTTTTAGGAAGACTTTAATCCACATCTTCCTTTTCCATGCACGTCACAGCATTCTCTGCAGGATGTTCTGCAATTCATGAAAGAGGTGGAACATGATCTAATCGCAAAAGCTGAAAAGCCGGTACGTTCGGCCAGCTACTTTGTGGAGTATTTCTCTTAAACTTCCACTCCTTTTCTGAATATAGGAGAGTTATTTTTATTTTGTTTAAATTATTCTTGCAATTTCTTGACTGCTATCTACATCACACAGAGATTACAATATCCGCTTTTTTGTCCTCACTTTCTGTGCGGATTTGTGAGCGCAAGCAAAGAAGTGGTTATTTTCAGGATCACGCCAGTCTGAAGGATGTGATTCTTTCTCTTTCTTCGCGAATCGCCTTCTTGAGACTGTTTCTGGTTACAATCACACACCTAGTGCCTCCTAGGAGACCAGAGTGTGTGGACTCTGATCCTCTGCAAATGCCTCCTTTGGATGCGGTTGGATTTACGTAAGTCTTGCTTGAGTTGAATATCGTCGGTCCAAGGAGCATTTCAGTGCTGATTTGGATGCAGCAGCCTACACATCGTCCAAGCTTATGTTACTGTCATCGAAGTTCCTAGAAACATCGCTGAATGAAGGCGCACCGCGGCCGGAGGGTGTTGAGCATGATGGTGAGGTGGAACTTGTTCGAATATTATTGATTGTCATTTCATAAATTTAGGTGATTTCTCTTGGCTTGTGGCTTTTGAGCCTGAGCTCAACAGAAAATACCTACCATCGACATTTCCTAGAAAAATCGAGATCCTTCCTCGAGAAAAGGCTCTTCCACATTTGCATC